TATTATTGCTACTATTATCATTACTATCATTATAATTGTTATTATCATTATATTTATTTTTATCTTTATTATTATCTATTACTATCGTTATTAGCCTAATCATTATTATTATCATTATTATTGCTATTATCATTATATTTATTAATGTTATTATTATTATCATAATCACCATCTTCATTATTAGTATTATTGTTATTGTTAAAGTAATTAATATACTATTTTTTGTTATTATTATTGTTATTATTATTATTATTATCATTATTATCATCATCATTATTATTATCATCATTATTGTTATTATTATTTTCATTATTATTATTATTATTAACATTATTATTATCATTATTATTTTTGTCATTGTTATCATTATAATTGTAATTATCATTATAACTTTTTTTATTATTATTTATTATTATCTATTATTATTTATCATTATTATCATTACCATTATTATCATCATTTTCATTCCTTCTACTGCTATTATTGTTATTATTATTATCCTTATTATTACTATTATTATCATTTTTATTATTATTACTATTATTGTTATTACCATTATTATCGTTATCATTATTATTATTATTATTGTTATTATTATTGCTGTTGTTGTTTCTGTTATTACTGTTATTATCAGTAGTAGTAATAGTATAGTATTATTGTTATTGCTATTATTATTACCATTATTTTTTTATTATTATCATTTTCTTTATCATCATGATTATGAAAATGATATTTATTATTATCACTATCATTATTAATATTCATTATTATTATTGTTACTGTCATGATCAGTAGTATTATTATTTATTATTATAATTATCATATCATCTCATTATTCTCTCTCTCTCTCTCTCTCTCTCTCTCTCTCTCTCTCTCTCTCCCTCTCTTTTTCTCTCTTCCTCTCTCGTTCCCTCCCTCTCTCTCTCTCTCTCCCTCCTTCCCTCCCTCTCTCCCTCTCTCCCTTTCCCTCTCTCTCTCTCTCTCTTTCTCCCTTCTATCTCCCTCTCTCATTCCCTCTCTCTTTCTTTTTTTTCCCGAGCCGTGTAAACGAACACCCATCGTCGGTTGTGAGACTGGCAAAGTAATTAAACAGAACTAGACTCCACTATTATCTTCTAATATTTCGTAACTTGTCTCATCTCCCTTATCTTTTTTTTTAGGGTTCTTATCTTCTTTTAGATTCTCTCTATTCTTTTATTTTATTATCGGTCTTTCACTTTATTCCATTCGTTTTATGTGAGCAGTGACTTTTTTAACGAGTCTGTGTTTTGTTGCTTTTTTTTTTTTTGCTGTTGTGATCGATTCTGATGTTGTTCGTTCCTATTATTATAGTCTTTGGTTCTCTCTATCTTTCTCTATCTCTGTCTCTGTCTATATGTCTGGCTGCCTGCCTGTGTGTCTGTTTGTGAGTCTCTCTCTCTCTCTCTCTCTCTCTCTCTCTCTCTCTCTCTCTCTCTCTCTCTCTCTCTCTCTCTCTCTCTCTCTCTCTCTCTCTCTCTCTCTCTCTCTTTCTCCCTCTCTATCTCCATCTTTCTTGTATTGTTGTATTAAGAAAGGGGGACTGTAGAACAGATATTCAAAAAGGATATACAGTGAAATAGTAATAAAGAAAGTGAAAGGAAGAGAAAGGGAAAGAAAATGAAAGAAAGACAAACAAATACTTAAAAGAGAGAGAAGAAAATGATAGAGTAAAGAAAAAAAATCTGAAGGAGAAGAGGGGAAGGGAGGGAGAGTGTGGGAGAGAGAGGGGAGGGAGGGGAGAGAGGGGGAGAAGGAGAGGGAGAGCGGGATAGAGGGAAGGGAGGGGAGAGGAGAGTGGCAGAGAGGGGGGAGAGGAGGGGAGAGTGGGGGAGAAAGAAGAGGGAAGAGAGGGGAGGGGAGGAGGGAGAAGATGGAGAACCAAGGGGGAGGGAAGGGAGGAAGAACCTAGGGGGATAGGGGGAGAGGGGAGGAGAGCGTGGGGAAGGGACGAGAGGAGAGTGGGGGAGTGGGAAGGCTGGGGAAGGGAGAGGAGGGCGGGAGAGAGGAGTTGAAGAAGCGAGAGGGGTAGGTGAGGGGGGGGGAGGGGAGGGCTAACACGTGACCTGGCGTGACGATCATCTGCCGCCGACGATGCAAAGTGATCGACACTTGCCATGTGTATCCTCTGCCGCACGACTGCATGAGTGTCAAGGCTATCCCCTGCCAGGTCGAGGCGGGGGAGGAGGTGGGGCGGGGGGGGGGGGGCCGGCCTTTCCTCCGCCCTGTCATGATCTCGATTTAATTGTGCATGACATTGCCATCTGGAGGTGACGACACAGGTGTGAGAAGATAGGTTATGCGCCGTAGCTGTTGGGGGGAGTGGGAGGGGGGAAGGTAAGGGGGGGGAGGTCGGGGAGGGGGAGGGAAGATGGGGGGAGTGGGAGGGGAAGGTAGGGGATGGGTCGGGGAGTGAGGAGGGAAGGTGGGGGGGAGTGGGAGGGGAAGTGGGGTGAAGGTGGCGGAGTAGGGGGGGGTGACTGTTTAAGTTAGGGGTGTGGGGTGAGGGTCAAGTTTTACACAAGGTGGGGGGGGGGGCATTGTAGGTTATACCAGGAGGAGGTTGTAAGTTGTACAAGGCGGCGCTATAGACTGTACGAGTAGGAGCTTGTAGGCTATAGACGGAAGTTGTAAGTTGTACAGCGAAGTGGTTGTAAGCTGGACGAGGAGAGGTTGTACAAGGAAAGGACTGTGGATTTTCCAAGGCAGTATAATGATGGTAAAGTGAAGGGTATAAAAATAGTCTAATATTCTACATATAGAAGATTTACTGAAACCTTTACTAAAGAAACAAAAGATTCTTTCCATAAAATTAAAGAAGGACAAGCGTAACCGTGTAGGCTTTGCTAGGCGGGAAAACCATGAATGAACGGAAATTATGAATGAATGAAAAGACACAGCCTCCGCAAAGACGTGTCCGAATCCTTATCACAAATCTCTTTCATAGAATCGAGACGACGAACGCCACATCTCATTTGACAATTATATATTCACTTTCCCCTCAAGTATTACGTAACATAAATGAATAAAACTAATATGAATAAATAAATAAATTCGTATTCGGCAGAGTATAAAATATCGAGTGTTCGTATTTCGATGCCGAGTTTCAGGAAAAGACTGAGACGCGGTAATTCCATCGTGAGTAAGATGAACCACGTGAATAAGACGAATCACGTAGGGTGTGGCGGGTAAACGTTCGGTCAGAAAATACTATAATAATATATTTAAATCAGTACTTATATTTCTGAAACAAACCGAGTTTCTGAAGATCATATAAAGAGAGGATGTGTCATTTCTTATATATATCCATTTATATATCTCAGAAGATTTGTCATTTAAGAGAATAACACTTGATAACAAAGTAAAATAGGTTACCTAACAAACAAACAAACAAAAGACAGGTACAATGACACAGTCTAGGGTCAAGTGAGGTAAAGACAGAAATACTTTTATTTGTCCTTTGAGATGTGGCTGGCCGCTCAAGGCAGGGCACACTTAAAGACCGATAAAAATGACAGCTTTTATATAAGAAAAGAGACAAAAAATATATTCATAAAAAAGAAGAAAAAAGTGCATGTACAGATTTGCACAGATCGGGTATATATATATATATATATATATATATATATATATATATATATATATATATATATATATATATATATATATATATATATATATATATATATATATATATACATGTATGAAGGTATATATACACACACACATGCACATATATATGTATATACATATATATATACATACATATATATATATATATATATATATATATATATATATATATATATATATATATATATATATATATATATGCATATAAATATATATGTATATATATATATATATATATATATATATATATATATATATATATAAATATATATATAATATATATATATATATATATATATATATATATATATATATATATATATATATATATATAATATATATATATATATATATATATATATATTATATATATATATTATATATATATATATTAATATATATATATATTATATATATATATATATATATATATATATATATATATATATATATATATATATATATATATATATATATATATATATATATATATATATATATATATATATATATATATATATATATATATATATATATATTATATATATATATATATATATTATATATATATATATATATATATATATATATATATATATATATATATATATATATATATATATATATATATATATATATATATATATATATATATATATATATATATATATATATATATATTATATATATACTATATATATATATAATATAATATAAATATATATATTATATATATATATATATATATATATATATATATATATATATATATATATATATATATATATATATATATATTATATATATATATATATATATATATATATATATATATATATACTATATATATATATATGATATATATATATTATATACATATATATATTTATGTACATATTCATATATATGTATATGTATATATGCATATAGGTACACACCGCGAGTTACAGGAGTGCAACAGTGCAACAAGAAATAAGAAGCGAGTAGCCACGAAATGATTGATTAGGTGTGCAAAAATGCCTCCGCGCCGCCGCCGAAGGGAAGCCGCCCCGCGCGAAGCCTCCCCCGCCGGCGCCCAGCACGCCGAAGCCACGATTATCCTCGGACAGGGATTCGTGACCCTCGCTTTCCCTCCCCTCCCTCCCCTCCCTCCCCTCCGGCCTGTCAGCATGTCTGGTCTTGTAGGTGTGAGCACGTCCGTGTGTGCATGTGCGTGCGTGAGTGTGTGCATGTCATGGAGTGCAGGTGAGTGTGCATGGGTCTGTCCTTCCCTGCGACGCGACGCACATACTCACACACAGTTGGTACATAAGGCCGGGTCGGCTGGGCGGCGGCACCAGCCTAGCGTG